AAACAATATAATATTTTGGGTGCTATAATATAGGTGGTAGTAAATTAATGCTCGGACCAAAAGGGGTTGAAATCCGGCGAGCAAGAGTTTGCCATATACATGGTGAATTTTAGCATCCCTAGCAAAATGAAATGATAACTAGATAAGGTAAACTTTTCTCAAATAAAGTTTTCATCGAATTCCAACCGTAAGAACGTTACAACGTAAAGGAAAAGACTATTTATCTGAAGTGGAATGGTGGCCACCTTGACCCATCTTCCGTTACGCGTCTGGTAAAAAAAGCCTGGAACCGACCGCGCTCGTTGCAGACCTCTTTTATTGCAGATATCTTGAGAACCGAAGGTGACATTAGGTTCAATGCATGCGGCCCACGCATCTTGGATAGCGTCGAGTTGTTAGCAGAGGTCCACACCCTAGCGGGACTTGTTCATGGATAGACATTATGCTAACACTAGAACATGCACGAGTTAAGCCTTGACGATATATAATCAAAAGTGTCAAAGCGGTGACATTACATTTGATAATATGGCACTGGCTATGCCCAGTTTCAATTTCATGCAATTCGGTTGATATTCAAGTGAACGCTAGCAAAACGGATTGAATGGTACTTTTTTGATAAAAACATCAAGCGTAACTGCGTCACAGTGGAGCAGAATCATCTAGAGAATCATAGTCGACATTCCAAGGCATTTCCAAGGGAGTTCCACAGGACAACACACTTTGACCGCTCCTTGTTTTAATGTTTATCCATGATCTCACCAACCACTTCCAAAATCAAGGTACCAAGGTGCATGTGGATGGTACCATGGATTGTGCATCACGATCATTCCATGCACACGATGAATCAATGTTGCCTCAATAATGGACCGTATTTACGGTCTAACGGTTACGGGATACAGTTTTATGGTTATGGATATAGGCTGTCAAGTCGGCATTTCGTGCAATTATTAATCAATTAAAAAAATAGAAACGTTTGGTGCACTGCAAAAATATGTCGCTTTACAATGAAATTTTACTTAAAAAAATATGTAGTTTGAAAACGGCGACGAAATGCATTTGTTATTCATGAATATAGGGCGGCAAGTCAAGCCTTTAGCATTCTCCTTATGTGAATACATTTACTTTTATGAACACTGTCAGATAGAGTTAACATTTTTTATTTGAAGGCATGTTGATGAATATCTCCGTTATTTTCATTTTTTATTGTACTCAGAATAAAAATAAAATCTATCAATTGAGTTGTCACAAGTAGCAATTTTTCGAAAAAAATTCCCCTCATGAGATGGTTTTGTCCTTCCGTTCCTCGAAAACGGAAAGAGACAGCGATGTCAAACCTTCTACAAGTCCAAGGATCAGTGCCATTGAAAAGCCGGGTTAAAAATGTGGTTTCCGAATGCAAAGTGGCAAAAAATTCCCCCTACTGAAAATCATGTTTAAGTGTATGGGGTAGAGGGTTCAATTGAAAACTATATAACCTAATGGAAATTTTGTTCAAGTAGAAAGTGTGTCTCATTAGCCTGTAAGGCGTTATTGCAATAATGTCCATCCAACTATCACCATCGATTAAATTTTTTGATCATGTTTCTACAAATTTTCTTTATTAACATAAATCTCTCGTTTTGTTAATTTAGATTCTTTTTTACATTGCATGTTCTTTATTTGGACATAAATAGTACTTGATTTGATTTTGAGACTGCTTGAGTAAACTTGGCAGATGTGAGACTCTAACTTTGATTAAGCAACAATGATAAAAAAATGTATTTTTGAAAATATGTCCATAGTAGGTATATGTCTCCGTTGCATTCCTTTTTTTCTCTGTCATCCGCGTATAAAGGATATGCACATGATGTGAAACATTACGTGTTAAACCATTTCATAAAAAGCGTTCGCCACTGCATGAAACATATGGACAAATCAGAATTCACATTTGATGGAAAACATTTCGGTATGAATAGAAAATAGGTTGAGAGAAAATTGCAACCAGACCGTAAAAATGAACAGCTTTTTCAGTCGCCAATTAGCCATTACTGCTGACACGTTTGTGCGTTTACCAATAATTAGCAACACCACACGACCAACATTCGCAGCTGCAGTACAGTGACCGAGGTGACGTTTGACTGTTTGAGTAATAGTTGATTTATTTATACTTCTTTTACACGATTTTCAAAGTTAGGTACGTGCAACTATGTTGTGTCCAGTCGCCACCTATAGCATGTCTGTGAATACTGAACTGTGAAATTTACTGCAATACAATATTGCAACGAAAAGTTCATCTACCTCTAGCCTCCAGCTCTATGTACAAGTATTATTTGAATCTGTCGACTAATAGTGGTTTGGTTTAGAGCTGAAAATTGAACTTGACCCAACCGCCAGAATAAATTTATTGATCTCCACCCAATTCGGAAACATAACAAACTTGAATAGTTCTTACCTGTATTGATATATTGAAGTTTCTAATTAAATCCAGATCAGAATAAATTCGGAACAAATTCAAGTACCCGATAGATGACGAAAAATACTTCAAATGACAAAACTCATAAACTATTTTGCTAATAATGAAGTTGGAGCGCATCTAACTTTGAACATCAAAAATGTTTTATTAGAACGTAGGTGTAGAAGGACACATAGTTTGGAATCTTACCAATTATCCACACCTATTTAAAAATGTTGACATTTCTCTGTTTTTTTAAGACTTTCCCTTTACTTCAGATTCAATATTATTAATTTAAATGCGACAGACATTCACGAGTACGCGTTAAATTTTAGCATAATACAAAGGTATATATGTATTGGATTAACAATGCTAATATTGAAATGTTTGTGTTATAGGATGAATGAGAAGAATTCCTCCATAGGGGCCCTTATATTGGCCATGGATCCGTATTCCCCAGTTCTTCTGACAAGACATCGACGATTTGATACCATCAGGTAAAGTAAATCTCTTTATCGCCGTTTAACTAACACTGAGTTGCGTGCAATTGTATAACTTGGCAAGACATATATTAATCGTTCTAATCAGTATATGGTACCTGTACCTAACTAAACTTCTTCCCCTTTCTTGACATTGTTGCGGGTCTCTTTTTTCTTCTTTTCAAGTATATTAATCGAATGCGATTTAGAAGCATCCATGAACTTGTCCATTGCAGTAATCCAGTCTCTGTATTTATGTGCACAAAACTAGGATTTGGATGTCATCTGTTAGTTAGATTAGCGGAACCGATTGACAGCAGCCCCGTTTCTACGTTCCTTCGAATTAGGTTTATTTTTACCCGTCACTCATATAAAATACAGAACGTTCCAAAATTTTATTTCCTTTTGCTTTTATTATTCTAGAAAATTACTAGTGACGAGTCTGTTAAAGTTGCCGTCTCTTACCTTACTATGCGTTATACGTGGTTGGAAAGTGGTTCTTCTTTAAGCTTGAGACTGTACGTTTATTGATTTGATCGTTTAGTTTCCAAGATATTCCATATTAACATATAAACTTTGCGTTTGCCTTTGTTTATACGAACGATGTTCGAGCAAATTCAAACGTAAGAATTTTTGAAAGAGACGATAAAAAAAGAGAAAGAGGTATAGCCTGCCTTAGTAGTTTAGGAATTAACATTGACGTGGACAACAATTTTCAGCACGTAGACGCTACACTATGAATATTATAGATAGTTTTTCTTGATTGTTTTGTTTTTAACTACAACACAGTTCCTGAAATTGCATTGTTAGAAATTTTAGGATTAACTCATTTTTTCGACTTCTTTTCAGATTCTGTGGTTATAAAACATTATCTTAAACCTACAGATGATTCAGATTCTTCCGATATTTCGAATCCTTCAAATTTTTTCTGATCCTTCGAATGCTCCAGAATCTTGACATACTTTAATTTCTTTAGATTTCTTGAACCCTTTTTGGAGCGCTTCGGATTTGTACTAGTTCTTCAGATACTTTCGTTTCTTTAGACTTTCCGTTTTCTTTCGATTCTTAGGATTCTTCAAAATCTTCCATATTTCTTGGGATTCTTTCCATTCTTAAGTTTCAGTTTCTTCTTTTGTTTTAATTTCTTTAGATTCCCCAGGTTTTCTCTATCTTTTCTTCTTAGGATTAATTTCACACTTTTCTGCCTTTTTTTCTCATTGATCAGTTTCTGCAGATTCTTATGATTAACCGAATTCCAATTTCTGTGGTTGGCCGGATTCTTCAGACTCCAATTCTTCATCTGTTTTTCATTTTTCAGTTTATTCATATTCTTTGGTTTCATCGGTACTAACGTGGGTCAGCTTAATCAATAAACGATAAAACAAGTACAAACTGTGCACTCGCACGACGAAATTTGCGCATTGAGCGAAGTAACGGATTTTCATTAACGACTCCGTGCTGAAAGCGTGTTATTTAGACAAGCACCCTCGCATAAAAATTGAGTTGGAAACCAATAATGATTAGGGTATATTTAATCCAACTAATGGGGAAATCGTTTAATCTATTCAACTTTGTACATTATTAACGCCATCTGAATTAACCACACTTCCATATCATTGTTCCATTTTCCTTCTGTGAGTACCCTTCTCCGACACTCCGTTCTCGATATATTCGTCTTGATTAGGGAATGCAATCCCGCAGCAAAATCTCAATTCCGGTATTTGCGGGATCCCGCAAAATTTTAAATAAATTTGCAAATAAGAAATTTTGTGCGGTTAACTTCTGTAGGTATTAAAATAAATCGCTAATTATCACAATTGTTGAATCCAGCAAGCCCAGTTGGGGTAGATGTTGATTTGATATAAGAACAGGTAGTGTTTTCACGGTTTCCTTTATTGTAGCACCTTACACTAATTCTTACACTAAATGGACTGTATTTACCAACTACGCTTACTGAACTAAACTTAAGCCTAGAAAAACATTAATATATATCGTAAGGTGGTTAGCTCGGTGGTTAGGGAGTCCTTTTCCCAAAATGGGCGGAAACTGCCGCTCGTTAATCTTGGCGTGTCGAATTATGAGTTCGCTCCCTAACATTCTCCCCCCTTTGAGGACGAGTCCTCAACAAAACTGCGTAATTGCAGAGGCAGTGGACTTAATTTCGTCACCGGTCTCGTAAACTCACCATTAACTGTTTTTAATTTGACTACCCGGACCTTATTATCGCGTCCAGGCATCACCTCTAAAATTCTAGCTAGACACCACTCAAGAGGAGGTAAGTGATCCTCCCTCACTAACACTAGATCTCCAACTAGTAAATTGGACTCCGAAGTTTTCCATTTTGGTCGATTTTGTAATAAATTTAGGTAATCTCTCGACCACATTTTCCAAAAATCTTGCCTCAATTTGGAGCATTGCTGCCAAATATTGAGACGATTAAGTGGCAATTCTGATACGTCCCTTTCCGGAAATGAAGATAGTGGTTGGCCTATTAGGAAATGCCCCGGCGTTAAACAAGTCAAATCGGAAATTGAATCTGACATGGGCTGTAGCGGCCTTGAATTCAGAATTGCTTCTATTTGGGTCAATACAGTACATAAAACTTCAAATGATAATACTGAATTTCCAATTACCCTTTTTAGGTGGAATTTTGTACTTTTTATGCCAGCTTCCCACAATCCACCCCAGTGGGGGCTACTTGGTGGTATAAACTTCCATTGAATTTCACTAGTGGATACGAAATCCTGAATCTTGCAAGCGTGTTCTTTAAAGAACTTATAGACCTCATGCAAGGCATTATTTGTCCCTTTGAAATTTGTCGCATTGTCACTACTGATAGAAATCGGATTTCCCCGCCGAGAAACAAAACGCTTTAGTGCTAGCATAAAATCATTAGTAGACAGACTACTAACTAATTCAATGTGTATGGCTTTGGTAGCCATGCACACGAAGAGTGCAATGTAAGATTTACTCACACGTGCCTTACGCAACCGTGACTCCTTGACCATTATAGGACCTCCAAAATCGAGACCGGTGTGCAAAAAGGCACGAACCAACTGTGTTCGCTCAATAGGCAAACTCCCCATAAGTTGCTTAGAGCCAACTGCTCTAAATCGGTGACATTTCACGCACCTAAGTATAATTGCCTTTATTCGTCGCAAAGACCTTATAGGCCAAACCCGTTGTCGTAGACTGTTAAGGACTGCCCTTGGGCCAGCATGGCCTAACCTTAAATGTTCGCCTTCAATCATTATGTCGGTAACATGATCCTTACAAGGAAGAATAACTGGATGCTTAGCATCAAATGACAAAGGAGCATTTTCCAGTCGTCCTCCTACTCTTAGCAACCCATTCGTATCCAGAAAAGGGTTCAGAGACAAAAGTACACTATTTTTTGGCAGTGACTTATTCTCTTTTAAACATGTTATTTCTTCCGAGAAGTATTTCATCTGAACGATCCTAAAAATACAAATACGAGATCTGCTAATTTCCTGTGTAGAAAGAGCGCCATAAACCTTTAACGAATCTTTCCGTGTGTTTGTTACGAATCTCATCATATAAGCAATGCATCGTTGCATCCTAGTAAAGGAAGAGAACCTGGACAAAATTTCTATGTCAACCGTTGTTGTTTGAATGAACGAAACCTGTTTTTGTTCAGGTACCGAAGAAATTTCTAGTGTTATCTGTTCCGGTTTTAAAAAACAATCTGGATCCGACAAGAATTCAGGCCCCTGAAACCAAGTCTTACATTCCAACAAACTCTCGGGGTCCAGTCCGCGAGATATATAGTCTGCAGGATTTAAAGTCGATGAGATGTGCCTAATCTCCGCATCCAAAGTTAAGTCCTGAATTTCTGATACCCTGTTGGCTACAAATGTGGTCCAACGTGAAGGCGATGACTGCGTCCACGCAAGTACAATGTTAGAATCACTGTATAAAACAACTTTATCCCATTTAAATTTCATACATGACCTAAATTTATCACTCATACGAGCCAATAATAGTAATCCGCAAAGCTCCAGCCTAGGCAAGGAGACCGTTTTGAGAGGCGAAACCCTAGATTTTGAGCAAACAAGATTACACGAAATTCTATTATCGTCGTACAAAACCCTGACATACAGACAAGCTCCATACGCCACCATGCTTGCATCGGAAAACCCTACAAGTTGTATACTTGTTACCTTTCCAGGTTCCAATGTCCATCGCTTTATACACAGCTCCTTTAACCTTGGCAATTTCCTATAAAACCCTAGCCATTCAGTTAATAACTGAAGTGGTAAAATATCATCCCATTGAAGCTTTTGTGCCCACAACCGTTGCATGAATACCTTGGCTGAAATTGTCACAACCCCTACAAATCCTATAGGATCGAATATCTGGCCTATGATGCCTAAAACTTCGCGCTTAGTAAACCTATCTTTTTTTATTAATTCCGGTACCGATACCTGAAAGGAATCAGACACAGGATCCCATAAAACGCCCAAAACTTTAGAAGTAATTTCTTTTTGAAAAGACACCAAAGACCCGTTATTAGAATTCCATTTATGCAGTTTAAACCCTGCCGACGCTAATAATGAGGTTAATTCAGTTTGTAATTTAATTAATTCATCTAACGTATTAGCTCCTCCTAATATATCATCAACGTACGTCTGTTGTAGCAAAACCTGCGCCGCCAACGGATAGGACTCTTTACCCTGATTTGCTAATTCTACCAATGTGCGAGTTGCTAGAAACGGACCGCAACTGCTTCCATAAGTGACTGTTTGTAATTCGAGATGACGCATTTGTGCTGATGGGTCATCCCTCCAAATAATATTTTGTAAAACTCTATCATCCGGATGAACCTGTACACACCTATACATTTTTTGAATATCACTTGTTAAAACATATTTAAAAGTTCGAAATCTAACAATAATGTCAAACAAATCCGGTTGAACGGGATTTCCCTTTAACAAAATGTCATTCAGACTTAAACCGGAAGTTGTTTTCATCGATCCATCGAATACTACCCGATATTTTGTAGTTGACTTATCCTCTCGAATTACGCAATGATGCGGAAAGTAGTATCTACGTTTTTCTAAAAGCCTAGCATCATTAGTAATATCCTTTGCATGACCTAGTTCCAAATATTCTTCAATAAAAGCCGTATATTCCTTTTTTAAATGTGGATCCCTCTGAAACCGTTTCTCTAACGACAAGAACCTTTGTGTAGCCATAGAAAGAGATTCACCCAACAATGAAGCCCTATAATTCTTCCGAATAGGCAACCTAACTTCAAATTTCCCTGAACCTAACCTTTTTGTGGTTTTGGAATAAATTTCTTCACACGTCTTATCCTGAGGGGACATGTGTCTTTTACCTGAAATCTCCTCTAATCTCCAAAATTGTGTGATCAATAAATCTAAGTCTGGACCTTGCGAAAATAAAGAGACCATCACGTTTGACCATATGCTTATTCTACCTGGACCACTCCCCCCTATAACCCAACCAAACAAGGTATTTTGGAGAACCGGAAACCCGTCACCTAATTTTAGAATCCCCTCAATAAGCACATTGAAGTAAATATCCGCTCCCAACAGTAAGTCTATTTCCCGTGGAACACCGAATTTTGCATCGGCCAACTCCAAACCGCTGGGTATGTTTAAAGAACCGATATCAACGAAAGCCTGAGGTAATGGACCAGTAATTTCTCTCGGCATAATAGCACACACTGTAGCAACCCTTTCCCTGGAATAACATTGGGACTCAATCTCAACCCTTACAACACTAGTGATCTTAACATCCCTTTTCGCAAAACCAGCAATGTGAATGTTTGCCAAATTCCTTGGCAACCCTAATTTTTCTGCCATATGAGACGTAATAACTGAACACATAGAGGCCGAATCCAAAAGTGCTCTACCCTGTATCCTGGAACCATCATGGCAAACCAAATTGACCATAGCTGTTGGTAATACAACCTGAGTCTCCGCCTTGGATACTAAACATGGAACCATTTTTTCAGCTGTAGTAGATAACATTACCGTCGATGTAGACTGTGGTAAATCTCTACCATTCCCTTGTGACCTATCATCAGTACCCTGGTTGTCTCTTTGCTGCCAATTAAACCTATTTAGACCTTGATTCACCCCATTACTTCCATCCCCCTTTCGTTGTTTCTCCTCATGTAACGAGGAATGATGCCTTCCCTTGCAAATTCTACAGCCATCCGATTTACAGCTGTTTGCCGTATGTTTATATCCCAAACAATTGTAGCAAAGCCGATTCTTTGTTACGAAGTCTCTTTTATGAGCTAAATCAAATGTTTGAAATCTGTTGCACCTGTGGATAGCATGCTTGTCTAAATTGCAACAAATGCATTTGAGTGTTGCATTTTCTGTTGCCCCTGTTAATGATAAATAACTAGCCTTGAATGATTTTTGTTTGTACTCTGGTTTAGTTAATGATTCCAGAGCGGAACACCGTTTGTCCAAAAAATCCATAAAAGTTGAAAAACTTGGCAATACCGTAGAATCACGCTCAAGCTTATAAGCTCGGTGTGTGTCAAAATCTAATTTTGATGCCATTATATACACCAAAATTAAGTCCCATGCCTCTACGGGAACCCCTAAAGCTGCAAGAGCATTGTAGTTTTGTTTAAGTCTTGTGATAAAATTCCTCAAAGATGGTGAATCACCCTTTAAAAGTTGTGCTTCCAGTAAATTTTGAATGTGGCAGTTTATTGTAACTAATTTATTATCATACCTTTTCTTTAAAATCTCTAGCGCAACATCATAATTTGACTCGGTAGTTTTTAGGTCCTTGATCACTAATAGTGGCTCATCCTTTAAAACTGACTTAAGATATATGAACTTCTGAACCTTATTTAAGTGCTTATCACAATTAATGAGAGAGTCAAATAACTCTATAAAAGAGTTATACTCTTCGTATTTGCCGGAAAAAGTTGGTATATTGATATTCGGAAGTTTGACCTTAGAAGAGGAACTTGCTGAAGGCCCTGAATTATCCGCGACATTACTTGACTCCCCACCACCTTGCTGTTCTGAATTTAATCGTTTAGAAATTGTAGTTTTAAGTTTGCTATGTAAAGATGTATATTGTAATTCTACTTCAACCCTATCACTCTCTTGGCTACCATCTATTTCCTCTAATTGATCCTGAATGTTCTCATATTCTTCGTACGCCTTAACTAACATAGTTTCCCTAATTACAAATTCATTACTGTCAATCAATAAATTGTCATCATTTGCCGTTACAAAATGTTCAATTCTAGTAATTTTCGCCTTAATTCTACCTCGCTTGTGGACCATAGTATCCCTATCTGCCATTTTGTTAAACTTATTGAAAACGTATAAATATTTCGTTGACAAGCCTTATTTTCCTACAAAATAGTCCTTTCTCAAGCGTGAAACACAATCAACCTATGTGCCTAAACAATCAAATGCATGCGTATGCCTACTAATGTTAGCTTGGATTGAATATACAACAGCAAAGGTAACCTATTCCAAATTAAATTCTTATTGCGTGAAAAATGACTTAATTAGTTTGAAAAAGTAGCAAAGTGCCTAAATTAACTATAACTAATTTTATTAATGTCCGTTTGTGATAAAAAAAACTTCCTTTTCTATAATTAACTATTGGGTGTAAAATGTAATACAAACACTTGCCTATACCTTCTTTGATCCCTTAAAGTACCGCCTATGGGTTTTGTCACATCTGTTTTCAACAAAGTATCAAATTACTGTGGGCATTCGTGTCAACCAAACTTTTACTATGTATTTTAATAATCAAACTAAACATCTACTTATAGTTAATCAATCCAATACTAACCCTAAAGCGTAAAAATAACCTTTCTAAATTGCAATAGTGCACCCTTTGTAACATTTCTTTCCTTACTTTTCTGTTTAAGCCTTCCCTTGATATTAAGTTATGCTAACAAGTAAACTTGAATACCAATACGTAATACCTATAACGTATGTGTAACGTGTAACAACATAAAAAGATCTGACCTTGTGTTTCTCGAAGATGCTGAAGCTTCACCGTTGTTCAACCCTTCTTGTAAAATATCCTTGAAACGATCTCTGTACAGTGCGTATCCTTGATGCTGTTGTGAATCGGTTTTGCCCTTGTGAAAAACCGTCCTTGCATAAGATGCTCAAGCTGCCACCAATCCACAATCCTTGCCTTAGTCCAATCCCGCGAAACCACTCGTACGAACTCTTTTGCTCTCGATCAATATGCCTCGATGTTGTCGATAAATCCGTCCAATCTTCAAATAATCCGGGTCGAAGACGACCAATGTTGAATCCAGCAAGCCCAGTTGGGGTAGATGTTGATTTGAAATAAGAACAAGTAGTGCTTTCACGGTTTCCTTTATTGTAGCACCTTACACTAATTCTTACACTAAATGGACTGTATTTACCAACTACGCTTACTGAACTAAACTTAAGCCTAGAAAACATTAATATATATCGTAAGATGGTTAGCTCGGTGGTTAGGGAGTCCTTTTCCCAAAATGGGCGGATATTGCCGCTCGTTAATCATGGCTCACTTCTAATTCTCCGTGTCGAATTATGAGTTCGCTCCCTAACAACAATATTCAACAAAAAAGTACCTTCAGCCTAACTTTGAACTCAAAAAAAACCCTGTAAAGCTGTAAAGCTCAAAAAGGTGAACTTCTAAAGTGCCTCAAAAATCATAGTACATTTTTAACGAAAAAAGTTTAACAATTTTTTTAAAAACTCCGTTATGCGTTTCATTAACAAAGCAAACAGAGCCGTCCCTTTGGCCGACAAATTCCTCTATATATGTGCGGGTTTAATCCCGCAAAAATGCTGCGGGATCCCGCGATCTCGGTATTGCATTCTTTAGTCTTGATGTTACCAATAGGTGTTGTAATGGATGTTACAAATTTACTTCCATCTTGTTTCTGGTTTCCCTTCCTATATGGTAATTAAAGTGGGAGCGGATATTAATATGCCTTGCTTGACTGCTCATCGGGAAGGGATAGTAATAACTCAATAATCTTCACTAAATTATGAAATGGCCCTTATTTTCTTAAAGAATCATCTTAGCTGTAAGACAGTACAATAGTTATTAAATGAGAGTTTGAGGAAAACAATCCTGTAAAGTAAATGGTTGATAATATTCAACCTTATTTGTAAATGAAATAAACTCAATGTATAATGAATGCGCGTTAGTGCTAAAACAAAAGTTAATTGTGCAATAAAAATAAATCGAACTGCGATACGTTAATATGTTAAGAATGTCCAGGCGCGAGTCTAAAACTACAAGCAAATGGTGTCCACAATAACACCGCATTGGCAAACCGCAAGTAGGTGGTTAAATTGATTGCAACGCGCAGATAATTTACGCGTCTTTATAGTTATTTTTAAAATCAAACATTTATGAAAAAGATGGTAGATAATAGGTCGATAGTAAAGTTCATAAAAAATGTGCAAAATTGTCAAGCATTCGTTAATTTTATTCAGATCAAATTCACCATAGGAATACGTCCACGTAATTTCTTTTCATTTAGTATTGATTAGTTGAATTGAATAATAAGAATTTTCGCGTAGCTATAATTCATAAAACTTGCGTGTGGTTTAATTGTCTCTAAATAAAAATGCATCTTCCACCAAGGGCGTGATTAAGAGACATGATTTAATTAAAGCTAAGGCAAAGGTAAATTGTGTGATCGATTAATGTTCATATTGTTACTAATTTAAATTTTGCCCTTGCGAAATTAAAAATATTTCAGCTTTTAATACCAGTTCGCATTTTCATAGTTAATCGGTCCTGAGTACGGCCACTTAATCCGTGCGAAAATTCAGAGTCAGTCTAGGAAAAAGTTTTTCACCACATCCAACTTCACACTTACCGGGTAACAAAATGGCATACACAGCCAATAAAATCTGGCCTAAAACCGCGCTTTTTAAATCACAATTTAATTTATTGCAAACCTACTTCTTGGTGGGTCTTGGACACTTCGCGGACCGTGCCCACAACGCCGACACATGTGCAAGGGACCATGAGGGAGTTATCTAGGGGAAAATTTTTATTAGGCTTTTTTAAATATATATATAATTCCCAAATAGGAACTAATCACAATTGCATAAATATTGGAAACCGTATTAGACAACGGCCGACACCTTTAATCTTAGGGGATGAATGTTTTGGTACTGCAGGTGAAATGGATACTATGGGTGTATTATTACTATATTGCCTTGATTTCATAATAAAATGCCGCCTCCACTATTACTTGCTGTGCTAACTGCTTACATTGTAAGTTGAAAGTGAAGGAAATGAAAAGAACCGTTACGGTTTAGATGAAATAATTAGAAACGATTAAAAAATCTATATCTATAGTGTGATACGGCTTTAGAAGGTGCGATAATTACACTCATGCAAATTTAGATGCAGGAAACGGATAAATTTTTCCTATATATGATACCTACTATAAGTGTCGAAATTTATGTTCCTTGGGGGCAATTCCTACAAATTACGCTTATTAATGATCTATATAAAGTCATTAATTAAATTTGATAAAACTTTGTAATAATTAAAACAGGGAACATAGTTGAAATTAAATACCTCTGCAGGGTTACAATTTCTAATAAGATTATGTTAGTCAATCCTATTTAGCTAAGTCTGAGCAAGGACAACAGCTTAGAGCTTCAAAGCACAAATATAGTATTACTTTACTGATAAATACGCATCGTTAAACATCGGTGTTAAACAATTTGTGCAGTAAAATTTGTTATTTAACAAGTTCGCGAAAAATGGAGGATAGTGAAAATGCGCTCGATGATGCCGAGCCTACTACTAATCACGTAGACGAGTATGACAATGCTGAAGAGGAAGACGACATGGAGGAAGATAGTGAGGAAGAGGACGATGATGGGTGAGTGAAATAATATACTACAGTCTTTACATGTATTCAGTACAAGATATCAGTAATTTCCAATAAGAGAGCTTTTAAAATTCGGAAGTGTTTCTATTCTTAAGCCTACGTAATACGTCACTAGTAGAATCTGTGCACGAATCGGTGGAATTGATTTGATTCCTTCGCATCATTACCGAAGATGCGGAATCTTGCGTGACATCGTAATCCTTCGATTTGCGCCAACAACGTGTTATACTTATCCACAACGATTTAGTCTTTTCATTGAGTACTATGAAGAATAAAAATAATACAAAACCTTGAAGGGTCGCGGTCAAACAAAATAAATACGCGTACACTACACCTCCCCCAATCGTTGCGAAAAACCCGAACCACCAAGTGAGACCTAATAAGAAAAACAACATAAATGCTAATCTTAATTGAAGTAGGCAGGCTTGGGCTCTGTCTTGGTGAACTTTTATCCTACGTGAAGCAATAATACTGACCATAATTCTAAGAAATATAAGCAAATTTACAATGGTAATGATGACAATCGGCACAATTACGCCAAATATAAAATAGTTTCCTAAAGCGTAGCAAAGTCCAGAAGAATTTTTTCCATAATTTGCCGTAGATACTGAAATTATCGTTATTACTGGTATAAGAGGTACCCCCCAAGCGAATAAACACGATTTAGCAACTAAATGAGTGGGCGGACTCGAAAAAATTATAACATAACGTTGATATTGCAACAGCGCAATAGTTAACATCCAAAAAAACTGCGAAAGGACAGCGTAATGCAAAAGAGCGCCGAATATCGTGCACAACGTTAAATCGTGACCCGCACTTCCAGCAATGAACAGAAAAATAATTTGGGCCCCCATTGACATTGAGAAATTAATCACGACACCGTTTGTTGCCCGATAAGATTTAAACAGAACTGCCGTTAGCAAGATAACTAAGACTCCTAAGATAGATAAACCGCTTCCGATTGCAGTTATTACGTCTAGTGCCTTTGTATGTCCCTCACCGATTTGCGTATCCCCTAAAACTAGCAAAGCAAAATGCGTTGTATGCGAAAATTCGCAAAGTTTGTACGATGAGTTTCCCAAGTCCTTTGGGCTTCCCTCTATTGACCAATGACCGTGTATGCTCTGCATCATTTCATTTACACCGTAAGACCACGATACGCACTTTACTTCGCCGTTTGACGTCGAGTTTGCTCTGAAAATCACTTGCAGCGGAGCAGAAAACGTACAGTTAAAACCGGGCAATAGCACGCTAAGTATTTTCCCATCGCATTTACCAGTTGCATTGCCCTTCTCGTTAAACAATAAGTCATTGTGGAACATGGACGTAATAACGTTCGGCGATTCCTTAGACCCAGCGCATTCCATAATTTCAGTGCGAAGATCTTGAGGAATTATGAGCGCCAAGTCTACATTGTCCTCGATTTCATTGCCGCTGGGAGAATGACGCAAAGTTTCCAAGCTCGTTTTATTGAAGCCTTGCGAGTCAGATGATAGAAGTTTCAATCCTGTTATATCTGTCTTCTTTAGATTCGTGACTTGCATCAGTAACATGTCATCCCCTTCGCTCATGAAACCACTAGCGTCCGTTTTGGTAGCAACGTGAAGGAGAATTTCGTCTAAGCTCCATAGAATAATATCCGTGGAGTTCAAAAGCGATTGAGAGCTTCTTAAATTGCTCGGTGGAAATTTCATCATATTGCTGACAGTAGACATTGTATCTTTAATACTGACATTATTATTTGTGGCCATGTTTGATAGTATTTGAGAAATTAAATGAATTTGGAAGGCGTCGAGGTTCTCCTCATGATCTGTAAGAAGCGAAAGATCCCTACTTGCAGTTGCGGGAGGCGCGCGAAGAATTTCGTTTAATAATACCGTAACTGGTGGAATGGAAACTTCTGCACATGATCCAACCACAGGTAACCAATGGGCCGCAGCGATTCCGTTTCCGGAACATGTTCGGGTCACTGGAAGGCCATCACTTTGAAAACAAAGCTCTTGTGACACCACCGTACAACCAACATTCGCTTGTGGCCAATGTAACGTTTTGGATCCAGATGTGCTTTCGGTTGCGAAGCACATATTCACACTGCCTAGGTTTTCACAAACAAGACTCGAATTCTTCACCGCTTCTTTCAAAATCGCGTACTCGTCTAAAGTAGTGTAGCCGGTAGGAATTATATGCAAATGACACACTATCTCAGTCTTATTTAGTTCGTGAATTGTGAGCTGCGATACTAATTTTATATATTTTACGATGCCGCTTTTCACAGATGGACAAGAGATATTATCCGAATATGAAATGTTGGTAATGGGGGCGGTCCAAGTGACAGAAAATATGTTTCCTTCATGCGTGTTCTTTTTAATGTGATTGCTAAATACCACATCCATATGAGGTAGTTGTAAGGTTTTACACCAAGTATCTTCTTTAACTTGATTGTATGGCCAAAGATGCACTACGACATATTCAGCAGTAGACATAGTGAGATTAATAAAATTCCTCACGTTGCCCGTGAAGCATATGACACCTTGATATGCATCAATTGCGTTAAAAATTTCCAGTTGAATGTAGTTACTTGTAAGGTTGTGTTTGAGTTGCAGGCGTACGCGATTATTTTCATTGATAGTTCTTTCGCAGATAGCACAATCTAGCTCTCTTCCGTATTCAAATATTCTTCCATCGTTTCCTATTACGCTATAATTCCTGTTGCGATTTGTCCGGTTAGACCAATCAGGGTGCGTCGTTAAGCTCAAGTCTGATATAGAATTTCTACCTATCCAACAAAATTGATTGCGGTAGAGATTCTTTGCCACAATTCGCTTTTGGTATGGATCTTTCAATACGGCTAGTTTATCACAGGATTTATCGGTTTGGTTCCCACTCTGTACGCAAAAACATTTGTCGACGAAACCTATTGTACTGGCAAAACAGTTTTCGTCTAATTTTTGTCTACAATAAGTGTCCTCGATGGAGTAGTCGAAATTGTAAATACATACTCCCGAGAATTTTTCGTTACAATCCACCGCAATTAATTCTGTTCCGTTAATGACCATACAATTCTTTCTCCCAACATTTTCGTGTAAATGCTGTGGAGTACTGATAATACTGCTATTGTGGGCAAAGTTAATCCATTCGTAGGCTCCATTGTATATATTTCTTTGCGCAAATGCCCAAACAACTTTGTTTGTTAGCTGTGTGTTATAAGTCTTCTGAAAGAAGTAGTAGTCGATGTTAAGTGGGTATGGGCATGGGGGTGGGAACGTCGTGGGGTCCACTATTTTGTAACAGCTGCTTTGTTTATCCAACGTTTCGTGAGTAGTTAATCCATCAGGGCATTGTGAGAAATTTTCGTTGTATGTATACGGATCTGTGGTGATGCTTTGGTCGCTTAACGGAACTTCGACACCTGAAAAAATTATAATTATTAATTATTTATCTTTGCACTTACAAACATTGTATGCATACATACAAAGCAATTAGACTGCATGGGTAACCTTATTATTATTGGAGATGGTCTGAGAAGTTATAAAAAACTGAAAACCACTGATTTCAGACAAATAAATATCTCTGCCATAAAAGCAATGACAAAAAGTTTAATATGAATAATAATCTTTTAACATTGGAAATGTTTATGTCTTCGTATATGGGTACAAAGTTACGAGATTCGTTCAAGGCCAAAAGGTAACGGTGTCGTATCAAGTGACGATTGTACCGTACTCGGCCGTGATCAAGAAAAAGTCGCGAATACTGTAGATACCGTAGTCGCCAAATTTTCATCAACCTACCGAAAACACAACCACGCAGAATTATGTAAGCACAATGTTTCCTCGTTGCAATTCCCACAATTCCATTAACTCCTAATAGTTTAATTTCATCCTATTGTAATTGTACCACCCAATTTTAACGAATTGCATGTCCCTCTAGAAGAAAACAACTATAGATTTTTCTGAGTTTATGTTTAAATTTTGCATTGTTGCGAAAAAGTGTTTTAATTAATTTTTCAATTTTCTGAATTTTTTGAGTTTTTAATTATCCCCCCTTGATATCAATCCTAAATTCTCATTAATATAGTTATCGCTCGCGTTTTGGGTAGGTGGTTTTTAAGAAGCAACCTAAAATCTATATACGGCCCTGGTACGTTTACAATAACTGTTAACTGTTACAATGGAGGGAAAAAGCATTCTCCCAACAGCGAAACATTTATAAATCCCATCTGTTCGCTTATTTACAGTTGACATAACTTGTTCCTCATAAATGCTTTTCTTTGTAAATGTTTACTCCAATTATTGTAGTGATTTTTTCCTTTGGATACGATCTCAGCCTACTAAATTGAAATCTGTCATAATTTTATTGACCAATCTGCTAAAAGGGTTAATTTGAATGTATATGTACCCTACGACCATTTTTAGTAGCTCCACCTTTCAACGCTAAGAAGAAATCTACAATATGGTTGTAGTATTATAGTTAGGGTGTTCCCTCTCCTAATTGTCTTCGTAGAAATTTTTATTCCAAAATGTTGTATCAATTTTGCACTAATTATAAATTTGGTACCACTAGCTGCCAAACTACCTTTCAACAATAGTACACTTCTCATTGAAAATAAGGCCTTGGAGCTTTTTAATATTGTATCGCAAGTAGCGTATGTCGTTTTTACAATTATTAAGCGGCAGAGCAAAGCGATGCAAGCTTTATAGGGGAGTAGATGGTGTCCGTCTGTCCGTGAACACGTGAACTGTCAAACGCTTGGACCGATTTGGTTCAAACTTTGCACAGTTGACCTATATGCCACAAGTAACAAGCAAATTGAAAATGGGTCGAATCCAATGACTCCATGGGGTCACACCGAGGTGCTCTGCCGCTTTTTTAAACGCTCTTTATGGGTTTATTAAATATTTAATTAAGCATTGAGAGGAGTACAAAATAATAGTCTCGCTAATCAAATATTTTTAATTTTGAGTTTGATTTACGACCTAAAAGTGATGATATTTCGATTCTCGGACGGACAGACGATATTCACGGAAGTATCAGTTGTTTTTTTTAGTAAAAGTTGGTAAAATGAATACAGAATTAACGCGGTCAAGTGAGTTCTGACATTTGATTCACTTCCAGCTCCTCTGTCTGAAATTAAACTTTGCTCTCATTATTTTAAATTTATGTAAACGGAACATTAAATTCAAAAGAAGAATTTAATTTACTGTTTACATTTGTTTAACTAGCTACCAATACAACTTTGTGACAGTGTAAAGGTCACGCTGCTCAGGGTTTTCGTAATTAGAGACACTGATTTGATTTACGTGCCTGTAATTTTTGATTTAACTTTTCACCCGTTCACCCGTATATCGTTTCGTTAATTTTCACGTTAAAATAAGAGATTTAGGATTATGCTGTGATACAGAATCTAAAGGTGTCACTTCGATTCAGTAAAAACCAATGCTAGTGTTAAGACACTGAATTGGGCATTATCACAAGCTTTAAATCAAGATAATTTTTGCGTTATTACATTAATAGACTGTCATAATTCATTTGTGTTTAATGCTATTAATTAGATATTATTAACAAATCAGCGAATAATTAATAGTTATTTAGATAAAAGCAAAGAGTATATATATACTATAATACGTTATATACTCTTTGATAAAAGTCAGGAAAATGACACATTACTGGTGAGGAAACCAGTTGGAGGAGGGGTGTAAACCGGTTTAATCCTTCATGGCAGAGGCGGATCCAGACTTCGATTTTGGGGGGGGGTCATGGAGTGATTTTTGTGACTGGGTGGGGAGTGGTGTGCACATCAGAATATTAAAAAGAAAAACATTTTTACTGCATATAAGAACAATATATTTATATTACAAATTCAGCTCGTCTTCTGGAGCTTTTCGCAAAAGTGGTAATAATTTTGTCGACGTCAAGCTGAATCTGGCGGTGAATATGGAGCAAAGCTAGACCAGTGAGCCGTTCCTCCTCCATAGTTGATCTCAGCCAAGTTTTAAGCCGGCGGCGCAGGGTTGAAAAGCTTCGAACAGCGGTTGCCGCACTTACGGGCAGAGTTGCAAGAATTTTGAGCAGCATCTGAATACACGGTCATTAGATTTTTAGATGGGCAATATTTTCCATTAATTTCTAATAATTTAATTCCACAATAAAGAAAGGTTAATGTTTAAGAGGGGGTCATGACCCCCATGACCCCCCCCCCCTTGGATCCGCCACTGCTTCATGGTACTCTAATGAAAGCTCTCAGCGATAGGAATTCATTTCTTCCAACCACAGTTGTTCTCCCGTTATCGTGATAATTTCTTATATCTTAAGAGCGTAGTGTCGGAGGAGGGTATAACACAGGGCGTAGGGAATATCTGGAAGAAGTATATCCATTGGTTCAAATTTACCAAATATTTCGAAAACGGTGTGTTGGAGGAAAGCACCCACAAAAGCAAAATGGATCGCCTTGTTAAAAAACAGGGTGTAATTTAAAAAACGCCTCAAGCTGTAGCCTGTTTTTGTCCGAATTCAATGCAAAAATGTGATAATACCCAATTGAGATCCGCGCTTGAAATTTTCCCGTTCAATACGTTTAATTTTTTACCAGTGCGAATTAGTTGGATTGAGAATTCGGTTCGTTGTGATGCTGCTCGGTTTTTCTCATATATTTTATAAAACATGTAATTTTTTCATAAATTTCACTTGAGAATCAGAGGTTTCTGATTGCGAAAAAGATGAAAAATTGACAATAATTTTGACAATGAAAAGGATATCATATTATCATACTACATTGAATGAAAACATGCCCTAACTTTCATCTGATCAATTTTCCGAAAAAGAACTTGTACCAATTCCAAAAAAGTTGCATAAACCTACCTACCTATTTCATTTTGTGCAGTTGTTGTATCCTGCAATGCCAAATTACTGTGACTGTTTAAGTTAGTTTCCAAAGGAAAATAATCCCCAGTCGGAGTCGACTCGATAGTACCCCAAACAGGCACCGCTTTAAAGCCAGGAATATTAGGATGCTTGCTGTCGGAATCAATATAGGGAACTCCCTGTAACATAATCGTATTATTAATTGTTAACAACTCAGTGGGGCATTGCAAACCTGATTATTGGGTATAGTAACAGAAAGTGTATCGCTTGGATTATTTGTAGTGTTCAAAACTGGTAACCTTTTGATGTTATTGAAATAGTTCACGAGGTATTGATTCGCAGATTCCACGTCGCTGCCGCCAGTGTAATAATGCTAAAAAAACAATTGAGCGCGATTTCGATATTTTATATAACTTACTCTGTACGCTACAGTGGAATCGGCACACGTCGCTTTTATATAAAATATCACAGCCAGTATTGAAACAACCATCCTTCAAATCTGCAACAAGAGAATATGATAAATCCTATATTTTTTTGTAATATTTAGTTTTTGCGTTTGCGAAAAGTGCAAGCTTCATTAAAAATGTTCAGTTTTTTTATCATTTAACGTGATTTAATATTTTTAGAGCGCACTATCGTACGATGCGCTTTAAACAAAAATAGAACACAAAATCATGTTCGACCACGCTCATAACTTTCATGGGGAGGCAATAGTTCCGCAACATCGAACAATGGAAATGTGATTTAACAGCAGAGCAGAGGTTCCATAATTTGTAAATGTTCAGCTCATGTAATACTTTTTATACATTACGTTCCTGTCGGGTGCAGGTAAATGTCAGCCAGAAATGCAGTTCGAGCCCAGATCTGACAATGTAGTGTAACAGAGTATTAAAACGGAATGAGTAAGTCTGCTACGACTATTTTGTAAAGATCGTGTTATAATTTCTCGTTAATTGAGTGCTAATGTATTAAATGTTTTCGGTTGCAAGACGATCTTCTGTGAAAAATGGCGTAATTTATTCTGTCACACAAAGCATACACATTTTGTATAGGTATTGGAAGTGGTTGACAGGTTGAGTCATTTTGTGTCATTTTCAAATGTGATAAGAATTTAGAATTTAGGTTTAGTTTAGTTATATTCAACAGAAAGGGAGCGCTATTGCCATTCTAAATATCAAACCGCACCTTCCACAGAAAATTTATATACATATTATACTTTGGATGAGTTTGAGTCGTACATTAGGGACTGAAAAATTGCTGTAACTTACAATAGTGCTACATCCAGATACTTTAACTTGGAAATGGGTGTACCACAGGGTTCTGTGTTGGGACCACTGCTTTTCTTGCTTTACGTGAATGATCTTCCAAAATACATTAAGAATGGACATGTTATAATGTACTGTGATGATATTTCTATTGTTCTGGCTTCTAAATGTGAAGAAGATCTTAGGTCCAAAATTGAGTCAGTTTTTGAAGATATGATGTGGTGGTGTAATAAAAACAATCTAATCTTGAATGTGGACAAAACTGAAGTTATTAGTCTTTCTAAAAAGAAGGTATTTGAGGACGCATCTCTAAGCATAAGCAATATAAAAATAGTACTTAGCCAAACGATAAGGTTCTTAGGGACTGAGATTGATAATGAGTTAAAATGGGCTGCACACACTGATATGGTTCGAAAGAAATTAGCTAAATCATACTTTGCACTATATCAATTAAAAAATCTTTTGTCTGTTAAAGGGCTACTAAACACGTATTATGGTTTAGTGTACTCAAATTTAACATACAATATTGCCATATGGGGCAGAACTCAAAACTTAAAACAATTATTAATAAGACAAAAAAGAATAATTCGCTTAATATTCAACCTTTCATTTAGAGCTACGTGTAAGCCTATTTTCATTAAGCATAAAATTTTAACTGTTCCTTGTATTTTCATATATAAAATTTTATGTCTAGTCAAAAAATATATCTTAAACAACACTGTTAATCCAAAAGAGATTAACGGGTATAATACAAGGAGAAACCAGTTACCTGTACCTCGTCATAAAAAAAGTAGTTATATGAAAGCACGACACTCTATTGTGGAATAAAGTTTTATAACAAACTGGACAATGCAACTAAACAGCTACCACTGAAACAATTTAAAACTACAGTCAAAAAACTTCTTACATCCAAAGCATTTTACACTACACAAGAATATTTAATTGATTAATAAACAAAAAAATTCAATTTCGAAACTTAGCTTGTTAATTACTTTTTATATATTTTATGTAGTTTGTATGTTTGTAATTTTAATACTATATGTTCCAATGTTTTTATGTGATTTTATCTTTATTTATTTATTTATTTATTTATTTATATAGGAGTTTGCTCAAAACAACAGAAATAACATTCCATATAAAGTTTTGAGAACAATGATTGTGACTAAAAAATACGTATACAAGTAACTATCTGTTAAAAACAAGTGAAGTAAGTAAATAATATTTTTATAAACATAAAACTAAATTTTTCTTAAACTTATCTTATATCTATTTATTTAATGTATATGTGCCCTAAGCTTACGATGCAGTTTTTAGTAGTTTTATTGTAACATGATGTCTGACTTGTCCTACATTCAAAACTGGATATATTGGACCAATAAAGATTATGATTATGATTATGATGAAAAAGCGGTTGAAAACATTGCTGTATCTGTCCATTACAAAATTCATTCGTAACGATTTTAAATTTGGTATTATTATTTATTATTCTGTTTTATAGATTTTCAAAATTTCTTATATTTTGTTTAATTTTTTTGTCACAAATTTCAATGTTTTTTTCAAGAAATTGTTCTTCGAAGGAGGTATTGCATTGGGGTAAAAATGACTCACTTTTTTTGACGAAAATATACTTTTTAAAGTACCTGGAATTTGAATCAAACAAAATCTCGAGATGTCACTCTGTAGCTCTGTCTGCCTGTACTCTCAAATCCAGCTAAACGGCTAAACCGATTGGATCCAAATCTAAACATAAAAGGTACAGCTCAAAATCTTTTGGCACAACGTGCATGCGCAGGGGGTATCTAAAGCGATATTCATGTAGAAGTAGACATAGGGATTTCCTATAGGAATTTCCTATGTCTAATTTTACATGATAAAAAGTCATCTAAAGGACGCCTAACTTTATGCAAACAAAGCAACTACCTACAACAAATGAGGATCTGCCTGTCACATTAATTAATTTGAATATTATCGCTTTGACTTTCCTATTCTAATTTCAGTTCATGCTCGAGTTCGTGTACGATGTATTCCACTAAAGAAAAATATTTCCAATTGGTATAGTGCCGATAACAGTTAAAGGGGCTTAAGAGATTTATTTTCTGTAAAGCTAAACCAACAATATTCAAATTAACAATTAATATGACAGCTAGAGATCTTTACTTGTTTCATGAAGTTATTTTGGTTGCATAAATTTAGGCCTCTTTCAGAAGACTTTTTATCATGTAAAAGTAGACATAGGAAATTCCTATAGGAAATACATCCCTATGTCTACTTCTACATGAATATCACTGTATGCTAACCACTATTTCAAAATTTGTAATAGTGTTGTATCATTGTTTAAATCAATGGTTGTACTTATTTTACATAGCGGGATTTATGTATGGAAATATCTGAATTTAAGAGCTGAAGTCCATAATTACAAATGGTACATATTATGTTGTGATGGTCCTGTCGGATTTTAGCTTGCAATAGTTTCGTAGATTTGAGAATGTTTTGCATCGTAGACAAAGATTCGTCAAACAGTAGCCAAAAAAGTTCATTATGGGATTTTGACTTCGATAGCGGTAGTCCTTTAGTGCTTATGCGACACCTTGCTATTTCTATTTAATGTAGACACAACACTGGCTTGACTAAATACTGAATGATCTTCTACAGTTTTGTACCGTTTTCCGATGGATGAGAATTATCTTTATGTAATAAAAGCTCGTTTTGGGCATTTTTTCCATACAAGAAATCAACATACAAATATTAAAATATATTATGTAATGAATAAAAAAGGGGTTTCGTTTATGAATAATTTAAAAATAGTCTAATGATGTCCCTGGTATAAACGATAATAACCGGTAACAAAAAAGATAACAATATGGTGAAATGTATCTGTTTTTCGTGATAATAGTTGAAAATGTCCCGGTATGCTTATTCAATTGACATAATTTGAAGTCAGTCATTTCACTGTGGAATTAGAAACTCGTTTATAGAAATGGTGGGATAGTCACAATATCTCATTTATTTATCGAGTAAATCTGGGCATGCATTAAACCGTTGAGTGAAGATTTAATTATTCAATGATTAAACTTTATTATCTACTTCATGACATCTGATCTAAAGGAAGTTTTTAGAGTAGCTATAATGAGAAATTAGATAATCAAGGTTTCGAAATTATACACGAGCTCATTAATTAATTATTCAGTTAAAGGTAGAATGGTGTAGTAAGCATGGAATGCGGCAAACCAGAACTATTGCAGTTGGCTTACAAAATTTTAAAATATTTGGATCCTTGTATCTGTTATGCATGATTTATCACAACGTTGCGATTACATATGATTGATACTTAAATACCAGCTACTATGAGAATTTTAAATTCAAGGTCCCAGTTTACACTTTGCTTTTCGTCATACTTACTTATAGAATTATATTTTGGGGATGCTGGATTTCAATTCCACTCACGTTTCACAAAATTTGTTTACATAGCACACAGTTCACTACAATCTATTAGCACTATAACATCGCGATCGCAAAACACTTCGATGCGTTAACCGCACGTCATACATACAACAATGATAAGTCACATACCTTAAAATAATATTTAGTTTCCCTTATCAAAATACTTATCGTGTTAGTAATTCGCGCGTTCGAAATGTGGCAGGAACCATCAAATGCTGAAATGTCTGTGGAAGTGCCGGTTGATTCTATGATGACATCACTCAGAGGCTGAACTTTATAAAAAAAATTAATTATAACAAATTCTGTTTAAAACCGTGACAACATTTGGTTATTAATGAAACTACACGTAAAATTATAAGAATACGGTTGTCGGTTTTCTATTTTAAGACTAGATATCTTCAATGACATCTACGTAATTGAGAATTAAGTGTTGTAAACTTAAATTGCTTTACTAATGAAACCAGCGCATTGTAATAAATACAGGTGAAAGTGTAATAATGGGTTTTTTATAGTAATTAAATTGGCGATGAGCACATTGTTCCAATGGGAGCATCTTTTTGATTTGGGACGAAATTACCATTTTATGATTGTATGTGGTGTGGTGAGATGAGTATGAGGTCATTCACCGTTCATACACATTCAATTATTTAGAATTTTGTTATTGTATTTTCCGAGATTTACCCGGAATATTGTTTTGTGGTCATTTACATTTTTAAAGAATTTAATCAGCCATATCAAATTAGCTGTAGTTTAATTGGCAGTGGTGTTCCATTTGTTGCATGGAATACGGGCCCGGTCGGTTTAGAAATTTTTTACTTAAATAAAACTGAAGAAAAATATTCAGTCAACAAACATTTTTAACATGAAAAGTGGAACCCTTTTTCTGCCAAAGGATACACAAAAAAAGAACAAAATCAAAGGTTACTTGTATATCGTCTTTACTTTATATTAATATTATACAGTCGACGTTCCATACTGCCACAAACGTGTTTTTTATATTTTAACATTACATCGTAATGTGTAACAATTTCATCCCTAAATTTAGTATGGTTAGAGTGAGAGTGGAAACCCCTAAACTTGTGATATATCATTTCAAAGGTCTTTTAATTCTCTATTCAAATACAGATCGGTTGTTCCCAAACAGCAATGATCTATCAGATCTGTGGCTGCAACTATGCGGTATTGGTGAGAAACTAAGGGCCGATTCTACAATGAAGGTATATATCGAGAATAAGCTATACCTAGAATAAATGTCGACGGTTGCGTTAGTTACCATTGTGTCAAGTGTCAACCAATGGCATACATGTTGCTATGGCAGTTATTCCAAGAATATCTTATTCTCCGTAAAAGTGTAATTGTAAAACCGGCCCTAAGTGGGCATAGTTTTCCCAAATAGGTGGATTGGGCGAAGTGGATCAGTCGAGTGGCTACCTAGGTCGCCAGACCTTCACTTCTTACTCTTACCAAGACCGCATTGTGTGGAGGCGAACCAGCTTGCTGCAGACACAACAGATCATTTCTATTTGAGAATAACCCATCTGATTATTGGTATAATTGTAAAGAGAATTAAAAGGCCTTTCAAATGATGTATCACAAGCCTCGTCTTCCTATAAAAAAATTTAGGGATTGCCACACTGACTGTACCGGTATTCAATTTAGGGATGAAATTTTTACACATGATGATGTAATTTTAAAATATAAAACCGAAGGGGTCTCAGGATCTTTCCTGTCAGTGCCGCGGTTAAGCAATAATTTACTCCTTTCACCTACACCATACTGTATATTTTTATGCAGAGGAAGATGGAATTAACGGAATTAACGGATAGGTTTTTGCATATCCTATTTTTGATTTTACGAAACAATTTCCAAGCATTCCAAGTGGGTGCACTCCTAAAGGGCGGTGCAGGGAGAAGGGAGAAGCAATTAAACATTTATTATCATGCTGCTCAAAAAGTGGTAAAGAGAAAGTGTTTTTTTTATTTTTTGCATCTGTTCAAATAACAGACACAAATAAAAACAAAATCAAAAAATTCCGGTTTTTTTCTGATTTCCTTTACAGTATGATAATTACTCTTTAATTGTGCACATTTTACCTAATTTGCCCATCTTCGCATCTTCTATGTTTTCCGAGATACCCCTGATAGACATCCTTACCTTGGACACAGTGTATGTTCAAATATTTTGGGTTGATTTGATATTACGAAGCCTGCGCATGCGCACATTAATCGTCAATATTCTTCTTGGTTCAGGTGCCAGAGTTGTAACTACCGAATTCAAAAAGAAAGGCCTCGAACGTGGCTGCAATAGCGCACCCAACTTCGTTGGAAAATGCGCTAAAAAGTGTTTACTTGCTGTTTTGCTGGTCTAAACTTGCATAATTCTGTAGCGACAACTTTTAGGGATTATTGTCGAGCATGCCTATTTTTGTAATGACATAACTATTCTTCTAACTTAATAATAGTATTAGCATTGATTATACACATTACACGATATAATGAATGGTATTAGTATCGAGGTATCTAGACTTGTAACATCCCTGGACGTGATGAGCAGAAACATACAGCAACAGGAAATTGGGTAACGAGTAAATTCGTTAAACCCGTTTAAGGCTCCTCTGTAGTCAATCCGCCATATTGGAAAAATAGCTAAACTTTCTTATGAAATACTGCTTTTGTAGTTGAAGTCTAACAAATTCTCGATAGTGGATATTCTTTGCAATGATGAAAACAACGGCGGTACTTAAAAAAAGTTGAAATATCGGTCTTAGTTTTTTAGGAAGATCGATGAATAGAAAAATCGTTTTTCGTAAATAACAACCGTTGTAATGTGAGTAGAAAAACCTACAGCACCAATTTGGAAATCCGACAGTATTTCTTACGGCGGTACTTAAAGATATTATTTCCATCTATTATCATAAGGCATATATTTAAAAAAATATGTTTCGCAATCTTCAGAAAAAATCAAAACGCTAACGTAAGGATAGGCAACTCAAATTGCACTTATAACGACAACTCATTACCTGAAAGGGAAAACAAAAGAACCTACCTGGCATTACCCTACACATTGTTACGCCGTTCCTAATGATATGGATTAGATAAATTACTATTTATTATTTATTTATTTAAATGCTGTTCATTTGTAAATCATAATGTCACATATTCCCAAGACGAAAAATGTGTATACTATTATAGGTACATTGGAAATAATTTATTTCTAAAACCTTTTGCATCCCATCAGGATGCTTCAAGAAATAAAAAAAACCTATAATGAGGCTGTAATATTTCCCTTTAATGGGGAGGGGGGGTACGTACAATACTAGGTACTTCACATATTATATCATAAGTAGTGCTGAATATGAACTCTGTTTTATAATAATGCTTTCAAACTACCAGAAGCGTAGCACTTTGTTTAGTTAGAACAAATCAAATATGACCAAATTACACGTTTGTGTATATTTCCCATCTAAAATTATCAGTTTCCTCAGATAATCCAGTATGCGGAGTAGTCAGAAGGGCCGATTCGTGCAAAATGTGGTGTAAACGATTTTAACGTTTTAAATGGTCAATTTGGGTCCAAATAACATGTATTTGAAGAGTGCACACCAATTTTTTCCCGGCACAACTTTTGGCAGCCAAAAAACCTCAAAACGTTCGGACTTTTTTCAATTTTTCTCGAAAACGGTCCATATTTTATGAATAACACTTCTTTAATAAATTAAAGAAAACAAAATTCTGCGTCGATAAAAAAAAACAAACAAAATCGGTCCAATAGAAAAATTTTTACAAGCAATCGAAAAACGCCCATTTCTTCCAACTTTTTTTAAGAACTGAGTTAACCTTTTTTTAATGCGTTGTGGCTCCTAAAGGAACGATAAAATCCACTACCCCTCCTCCCTAAAGATTGTAGAACATCAATAAGAGAGTTCAAAAAGTACCAACAATTTAAAATTGGACCAATTTTTGACATTCGTTGGAAAAAATGGGCGTTTTTTGATCGCTTGTAAAAATTTCTCTATTGGATCGATTCTGTTTGTTTTTTTGATCGACGCATAATTTTGTTTTCTTTAATTTTCTAAAGAAGTTGTTATTCATGAAATATGGACCGTTTTCGAGTTTTAAGCGCAAAACTAAAAAAATGACAAACATTTTGAGGTTTTTTGGCTGCCAAAAGTTGTGCCGGGAAAAAATTTGTGCGTACTCTTCAAATACATGTTTTTTGGACCCAAATGGACCATTTAAAACAATAAAATCTTTTACACCACCTTTTGCAGGTCACAATTATCTGCATATTGGACTAAGAGTAAGTCTTCGTGAAAATTATCTATTTCGAGAAATGCGACCAAAAGCAAAAGATGCACATGCCCTTTGCTTTCCATAAAGTTGCAAACAAATGACACATAGGCATTTTTTCACTTATTAGCGGAACATAAACATAGGAAACGTCGTGGTATGTTATATAAAAGAAACGCTACCGATATAAATACAATTCCCCTTTTTAGTTAAATTCCTAAGCGGGATACGATAACTAGGTAATGGCCGACACTGACAATTTTATATAAAACAAAGTGTCACTGTTTTGCTCATGTAAAGTCAAGTTAGTGAAAGTGGTAGATATAAAAAAATTCTTGCACTTTAAAAAAAATTCGACTATTTATCTTTCCGTTTGAGAATACCTTTTTGATGGAGTCCCACAAACTTCACATCAACTTGGCGAAGTTTTTTCAAATTTCCAATACTATGTAGCGACAGAAACCGATAAATTTTTTACTACTGCCTACTTCTTTTTTCAATATGGACTGATATCAACTTTATCAACAAGAATATTTGTCCCTCAAAAAATAGGAGGATCAAGTAAATTTTATTTTTACCATTGAATTCAGGGCAAAAAAGTCATCTTACCGCACAAAATGTTCGGAAAAATTCTCCATGGGTCGTGTGTAGACATAAATAAGTAATACGCTAAATGTACAATTGATATTAGTTTTTGAAAAGATAAGGATTTATTTAGAATTAGTATAAATGTTATACTTTTAATCATTGTAACAGAATTTTAAATGTTAGCTACCATTTTTATGTTGTTGTTCACCCTTGTAAAGAAAGATTTATTTTAGGTGTTCGAAGTGCCGGTTTTTTTAGGATCTATCATACCTAAGTGAATTCATTCATGCACATGTACTACCTATAAAAATCTATAAATCAGTAAAAATGATTAGAACAAATCACAAGAAATAAAGGGGTAATTAAAAAATGTTATAACAAACAATGCTAATCTAGTCCACTAAATTACTTG